AAAAAAAAAAAAAAAATCTTGTAATATTTCAATTTTAAAATATCATGAGGTATTTTACTCATTTATCAATAGACTTATTTGGATTTCTTGAGATTTCAACTTCAAAACACGTATACCTAATCTCTTATCCAGACTTAATATTTATAAAAAAGATAAAAATAAAAATATTAATTTGAAAAAGTATGAGATTACTCAAAATCTTAAAGGAATACGCCATTTGGTTTTAACCTTAGCTTTATTTATATTTAAGCTACATAAGTATGACGTTCGTCTTTTACACTAAAATAAAAGGAATGTCTATATGTCGATGTCTTAAGGGCAAACTAGTCATTTATGTATTGTATCCCTAAAAGAATCTCGATTATATTGGATGATATGGCCCAAATACTAAGCTCGGCCCAAGTTCGCAAACCAAACCCAATATCACAAAAAGGTGCTTCTCATACGGCCCATCCGCGTACCGCTAGGGTTGTTGATCAACCGATCGGCACAACTATCACTCACAAGTAGCTTTTTGAGGACGCTTGACGATCAATCTGATCGCCTCATACATTCTGAAAAAGCTGGCAATACCGCCCATCGTGTCTCATCACCTTTTGCATGGATTCACACGACGCCACCCACGCCCTAAGATGTCATGAGGCCCATAATGTTGAAATCCTAATTTTGACTATAAAATTGACCTACTTCAGAGATTAGATGAAACCAAATCTAAGCAGGTCCATGGAAGAAATAGAGGAGACTAGAAGATGGAAGATAAGAATATCCTCACTTCCCATTACACGTCCTAAAAAATCAGTGCTATACAATCGACTTATTTTGTTTTCAGGCTATGTACCACACCTATAAACATATTTATTAATAAAATAGGCTCGAATATCTAAATCTCATCGACGAGTCCGTTTTTGGGCTAGCAAAATCAGTGTCGATCTACTTTCAGAATTTCCCTTATCCCGTTACCAAATTAACTCCATAAAACTGTAACCCTAATAAATAACCCCTGATTTTGTTGTCTTGAATACATACATCTCATAACCGTTGGCGAACCTACCGTCAACATTATGCTCACACCATAATATGTACAAATAGAACAACACATATTCACGATGTGGGTGCTTGTGTGAAATTTGACGGCTCAAATAGCCGAATTCTAAAATATGTCGTGTTAATCTTCTTAAAGTATTTTATTAATTAAACTCTATAAACCTCCTTTTATACTTCCCAACATACCACATTATCATCCAAAACCTCATTCTTACTCTTACACTTATAAACCTCGTAGAACAATAAGCCTATGTTTGGTTCGAGGGAAACGGAGGGGAGGGGAAGGGAGGTGAGAGAATTTTTTTATTTTTCCTTTGTTTGGTTCAATTTTTTGTAGGGGGGTTTAAGATTTTCCCTTCAAATCCCACCTCCCTCCTCCAAGGGAAAATACCCTCCCCTCCAAAAGTGGAGGAATTTGGAGGGGAGGGAAAATTTTTAACAACAAATTACTCTTTTGACCTTAATGTGAATTATTATTATTATTATTATTTTTTTATTATTTTTTTTTGTTTCTTACATCATTAAGAATATAACTATCATTTTTACAATATTTTTTTCCCTTTTATTTTCTAATCAAACAAGATTTACTATATTCTCTCCCCTCACATCCTACAAAATCCCTTCAAACAAGATAAAGTTATTTTACATCATCTCCCCTCCCCTCGCCTCCCTTCCATTAAAACCCCTCCCCTCTCTTTCTCTTACTTGAACCAAACATTACCTAAACCTCATAAACCTTTTTCTTACGGCCCCACAAGAACCCACTTATTTTTAATTAATATTATAGTTTTATACTTTTATTAATATTTTTACATTATAACTCTACTTTTTGTACTTTAAATATTTTTTTTCTTGAGATTTATGTGGTTTAAGAATGTAAATTTAGGGGCAAGCTATGGAAAAAGAGCTGACCGAGAAAGAACTTGTAGAAGGTTGGTTGCTGTAAGTATTTTTACCGGAATCAAATCAAAAAGATTCGAACATCGGGTCGTCTTTCAAGGAAGGTTGACTGGATTATTTGTACGGATATTCAATCACAAGAAAAAAGAAAAGAAATTCCTAAACATTCTAATTCAATTGTTTGGGTTTTTAATTTTCAACTATAAATAGTAAAAACAAGACTAAAAATTCCAAACTCACAACTCAAACACGAATTCAAGTAATGAATAAAGGGGCTAGGGTATCGGGGACAATCGCTTCCGGTTCTCAATGCATTTAACGAGCAATCAAGAGCTCGGTTAAATGACTCGACGAACTACTCATTGAGAGGTCTATCCTCAATAACTCTTCGTAACAAGAAGATAGACGTGAACAAATAGCTCTTGAAACAACTAACACATAAGCAATACCATAACGAACAAGCTTATTCTCCACGAGCCTAGTTCGAACGATCTCTCCCCTTTCGGTTCTAAGATCGATTAATTA